AGCATTTTAGTGTTTTAGTGATTTAGCATTTTAGTGTTTTAGTGTTTTAGTGTTTTAGTGTTTTAGTATTTTAGTGTTTAGTGTTTTAAGGTTTTAGTATTTTAGTGATTTAGCATTTTATTGTTTTAGTATTTTAGTGTTTTAGTGTTTTAAGGTTTTAGTATTTTAGTGATTTAGCATTTTAGTGATTTAGTGATTTAGTGTTTTAGTGTTTTAGTATTTTAGTATTTTAGTGTTTTAGTATTTTAGTGTTTTAGTATTTTAAGGTTTTAGTGTTTTAGTGTTTTAGTGATTTAAGGTTTTAGTATTTTAGTGTTTTAGTAATTTAGTGATTTAATGTTTTAGTGTTTTAGTGTTTTAGTATTTTAGTGATTTAATATTTTAGTGTTTTAGTGTTTTAATATTTTAGTGATTTAATGTTTTAGTGTTTTAGTATTTTAGTGTATAGTATACTATAGATACCCAAAGTAATATAATTTGTATTTTTGTATTTTAGTAGTTTAGCATTTTAGTGATTTAGCATTTTAGTAATTTAGTATTTTAGTATTTTAGTATTTTAGCATTTTAGTATTTTAAGTTTTAGTGTTTTAGTGTTTTAGTGTTTTAATGATTTAAGGTTTTAGTATTTTAGTATTTTAGTAATTTAGTGATTTAATGTTTTAGTGTTTTAGTATTTAGTGTATGGTGTACCATAGATATCCAAAGTAATATAATTTGTGTTTTTGTGTTTTAGTGTTTTAATATTTTAGTATTTTAGCATTTTAGCAGTTTAGTATTTTTAAATTTTAGTGGTTTAGCATTTTAGCATTTTAGCATTTTAGTATTTTAGCATTTTAGTGTTTTAGTATTTTAGTGTTTTAGTATTTTAGTATTTTAGTATTTTAAAGCTTTAGCATTTTAGCACTTTAGTATTTTAGTATTTTAGTATTTTAGTATTTAGTATTTTAGCATTTTAGTATTTTAGTATTTTAGCAATTTAGTAGTTTAGTATTTTTGTATTTTAGATTTTAGTATTTTTGTATTTTAGTATTTTAGTATTTTAATATTTTAGTATTTAGTATTTTAGTATTTAGTATTTTAATAGTTTAGTATTTTAATATTAATTTTAGCATAAACAAATTAGGTTTAAAAATTTTATATACAAAGTTTATAAAAACAGAAAATTTTAAAAAAATAATAAAAACATATAATAGATAAGAACCTCTCTTGCTCACTCTTAAAGTTTATAAAATCTATATATACTTTTTATTAATAATTCTAACTTTAAATCTGAATTTTAATGCTAAAAAATATTTCTTAAAAAAATTTAAATTTTTTTAAAAATTAAAAAAAATTTTAGTTTATTCTGTTCAATAATTGTTAAAAATATAATATATATTTATTTTTTATTTAATTTTTATATCTTAAATTTCTTAAAATATTATAAATTTTTCTAGCATTTACAATATTTACTTTTTCTTGTTTTAAATTTAATAAAATTTTTGAAACAATTCTATCCAATTCTAAAATAATTTCTTGTGAAAGATAATTATTTCAATCTGAGTTTGTATAATATTTATTATATACAAACTGATATTCTTCCCAATTTACTTTAAATTTATAATCTTGTGTATTATTTAGTTCTGGTAAAAATAATTATCACTAGGACATCCAGAAGAACATTTACTATATTTATTATATCTAATTTTATGATTATTCCATTAATATTGAAATTCATATAATTCTAATTTAAGCAATGGCATATATATATATATTAAACATTCACTATTAATAATTATAAAATAATAATTAATATTTAATAAATATAATTAAACTAATTTTTAATAAATTAAATAATTATACATACTAATCAATTTTATTATATTTATTCCATTCGCCTGCTATTTCTATATCTAAAAATAATTCTATCCAAAATTGAGATTTATATTTTCTTAAATGTGACCACCAAGCTTCAATTCGTTGATTATTAACAGATGAACCATATTTCCAAGATAATGAATTTGCACAAATATCAGAATGATTTTCTCGAAAAAACATATAAGTAGGAGCCATTAATGCATATTCTACACCAGGATCAGATCTAATTAATCTAGGTATAATTCTTATATAATAATTTATAAAAATAATATTATTAATTATTTTAATAAATATTAAATATTATAATTATTAAAGGGTGTGGCAACTTAGTAAAGTGGTTAAGTTGTCGCACACCGAGTATCAAGGTCTAGAGTTTAATTTCTACTAGTGACAATATTTGAAAACTATATCTTGAATATCCTTCTATAAGAAGAATATACAAACTTAATTGGTGCTAGTCTCTAACTGTAATTGTGGTTATACCAACTCAATTGGAAAACAGATTGGCGCCTGTTGTGTAAAGATTCTACAAGGCTAATTCCAATTAGGAAAGTTACTCACAAAGTTCCGAATATAGTATCCATATCTGAAAACCTGTACTGCAGAGAGTCATGATTAGAAATATGGAGAAATGCAAGCTGGTATATATAAACATACCTCTAAATGTTGTAGAATAGTCAGTGCAAACCCATGATAAATCTATATAAGGGTTATCCTAGCCATATAGAGTAGAACTATATGTTAGTTTCACAAATATACAATATGTACACAAACACAAACACAAACATTAACTAAGACTAGCCTGTCTAAAACTTGAGGATAAGATGTTAAAAGGCCTTTTAAAAAAGGGTCTGGGATGGTCCTCAATATGCTAGCCATCTCCAAAAATTCGACAACATCAAGACTGATACAGATATCATCAGTACCCAGATGAAATCAAGCAACATATACGTAATCATTATGATGAATGGACAGCACATCATCCATACAACAGTACAATCTTTG